AAAAATATAATAAAATGTAAAATTAAAAAATTCCAGTCAATGCATTTACTCCTCCTTATGATCCTACATGTAAGATAAGGCTTGCAGTGAACAATATGTTGAGAATCAAACTACTGAGTAGATAGAAAACAAAGTATTTTATATGTAAGATCTAAAGGAATTGCTAGAATTTTAAAGTAATGTATAGATATAATCTCTCCATCATAATCTTGGACTAAACATAATTACTTTTTGAGTGAAGCTTAAGCTCTGGCTACATCAAAGCAACTGGTTGACGATAAAGACAGACAGTATGAAATACCTAAGGAATGTTAAACTACAATTTTGAAATAATTATTTGACCATCAACATTTATATTTCTGTGAATATTAATATTAGTGATATTCTTTCTGTGTAAGCATAATAAGGTTTACTTAATTAAATACATAAACATGTAATTGCACAAACACACATACTTACATAGAGGAAATACCAATAATTGAGTTTAAAAAACAATAGTTTGCTAAATATGTTTAAAATCTCACACTATCAGGCATGTAAATAAAAAAATAATGTTATTTAAATGAGTTACAAATACTATTCAGTTTTAATATCTCTTTTATAAATATTAAACATTCATTTATTCTAACCTCTTCATTGAATAGAGGTTACCATTCAAGAAGACTAAAAAATAACTTGAGCTTCTGAAAGAACATAGAAGGAAAACAGGGTCAAGGCCTCTGTAATTGTCTTTAGAGCACTGTCCCATAATTACATTTTTACCATTACCTAGGAAGATCCTTAACAGAAGAATCTTCTTTTATTGAGATAACATTGTGACTCCTACATAATTCCATTTAAAACTGTTAAATATGCTCTAATAATTTTGCAAATAGTTGTAAATGACTCACCATATTTTCAGTAATGGCATAGAAAGGAACTAGCATTTTCATTTGTTTGTAACAGTTTTCTAGTTGGTTGCCAATGAAAGAAACAGACTGGCATACCACTAATAATCTGATTGGTGCTCAGTATTTTTAAAATGTAAATAAATTGGCTACACATAAAAATAAAGCCATTTAATTCAAAAACACATTTCTTCTTCAGAAAGTTTGGCAAAATTCTGTTCACATGCCTACGGAGATAATCCACTTGAGTAGAGTAGTAGTTGTCCATTTAGAACACCGCTAGTTCTTCTTATTATTTCTTGTGTCTTTTCTAACTCATATTAAAATATGGTGTCTTTTGTTAGCTCTTTATAATCTATTTCTACTTCATACAATTTGTGTTAAATAGTTTTATGGATTTAATAGTAAAAATGTAGTAGTGTAATGTGGAATCATAAAGAACTAGTTATTTAAACTCTAAGAATATAGTAAACACCTAAAAGTTGCAATGAATGCTTATATCATGGATTCTAATTAGGAAAAAACGTTGGAACTTAATATATTTTGATAGAAAAAAATTATCATAAAATAAGCAATATACATAAGTTTTATTTTCTATAACTGGAAAATTTATTGTTGTCCTTGTCTATTTCTGTAGGTAAGTAGAATCACAGTTTTTTTATCTAAATAAAATATTATATTATGCATGAAGTATTAATTCTTACATATGTAATGCTACTAAAATTCTCAAA